TGAAGATGTTTTCACAAATACCCAACATTTTAATAAGTCCTTCTGCATACTGATGTTTCATTGTTTTGTGGGTGTTGGCGAGACAAACCATTGGGCAGTTTATTTCTAGCTCTTGGGGAGTCTATTGGTGGGATCTAGTTGATGAGTTCCCATGCCTGCAGAATTGTTATTTTTTTTATTAAAGACTAAGTTCACCATTTCCATAAAATAGCCAATGCAGTCTAGGGGCCCCTGTAGGTATTAAAACTGAGCAGCTTTGTAAAATGTTTATTAATGTTAATGTCATACCTGTAGGCCATTTCCCCCCCCCCCCCCAACCCCCAGAAAACTGGCCAAGAAAACCTTCTGTTAGCAACCCCCACATCCTGACTTGTATCTTCCTTCCCAATGGCCACATCATCTCTCATTACATACAAAATGCTTCACTAACATCGTGTTATGCCAATGATGAGATACTGGATAGCTTGTTGGCTTAGAATTTGTTAAGTGAGTATAATTATATGTTGGTTGGGGTGTAATATGTATTGTTTCATGATGGTGATATTATAAATTGTTGGCTGGGAGAGAATTTATTTTGTAGGTGGATGGAAAGTATAGCACATATATGATTAAGGGATATAATCATTTACTGCTGGTGAAGAGGGTATAATTATTTATTACTAACTATGGAGTATAAAGAATTACCAACATGTGTAGTTATAATGATGTCCAATGATTATGCTGTATGTTATAATGGTGACTGGTAGGCTATACCATTATAATTAGAGATGAGCGAATCGAACATGACGAAGTGGAATTCGTTCCGAAGATTTGGAAAAATTCGATTCGCGATGAATCCGAAGATTAGCAAACTTCGGATGCACGAATCGAATTTTCCCAAAAATGGCGGCGACATGTGTGGCGACGGAGAAAATGGACAGAGAAGATGGGGCGGGGATCTCTGGGAAGGCGCGCAGACAAGGCGCGCTGACCCATAATGCATTCATGACATGTGATCGCATTAGCCAATCAGCAGCCAGCCAGCACTGTGTAATGGTGGAGCTATAAATCGCGGCCATCTTAGAATTCTCCATTAGCCTACGGTCATTCAAGAGAGACAGACCTGTGTGTATTAAGGGACAGAGTTAGGGCCACAGAGACTTTAGGGCCACAGAATCGTTACTCAGGGCCACAGAATCGTTACTCAGGGACACAGAATCATTACTCAGGGACACAGAATCGTTACTCAGGGACACAGAATCGTTACTTAGGGCCACAGCTATCAAAGAATCGAAAATTTAAAGTGACATACACCCTTTTTTTTTTTGGTGGCTGTCGTGCACAGTTGGTGCTGCAGTTTGCCGATTGTGCAAAATAAACTGACTTTCTGCTTCACAACCACTATTGTACGTTCAAAGAGTTAAATCCATTTACACGCCGGCTGGCGGTAATATTTTTTGGGTGATTAGTGCATTCCAGTGACAGAAACGTACAGTTTCCAGCCAACGGCAAGCTGCAATTGACCGATTGTGTACAATAAACTGACTTTCTGCTTCACAACCACTATTGTACGTTCAAAGAGTTAGATCCATTTACACGCCGGGTGGCGGTAATATTTTTTGGGTGATTAGTGCATTCCAGTGACAGAAACGTACAGTTTCCAGCCAATGGCAAGCTGCAATTGACCGATTGTGTACAATAAACTGACTTTCTGCTTCACAACCACTATTGTACGTTCAAAGAGTTAGATCCATTTACACGCCGGGTGGCGGTAATATTTTTTTGGGTGATTAGTGCATTCCAGTGACATAAACATACAGTTTCCAGCCAACGGCAAGCTGCAATTGACCGATGGTGCTAAATAAACTGACTTTCTGCTTCACAACCACTATTGTACGTTCAAAGAGTTAAATCCATTTACACGCCGGCTGGCGGTAATATTTTTTGGCCCCCTGTACCGGCTCCTCATGAACGTGGTTCAGCGGGTTTGCATCACTTAATGGCAAATCGTTGACAAACGCTGGGACGTTCAGTGTTGTGCGCATTAAGCCAGACACCAAAGGGCAGCACAGACCTGTTATTACTCGCTCAAGCATGGCTGAACAAAACCAGTCTCTACCACAAATTGGACCCAGACCTGCCCAGGGTCTCGTAAGTAGATTGCACGGAGGAGTAGAGTTCGTTATTGGAATTAACTGTGAGGGACTTTTAAACCTAGGCCTGTGTATGGCCTTCAATTGAAGCTGCTTCTGCTCCGCCACTCTGCCATTGGACTCTTGATAGTCGTCTCCCCACGCTGCTGCTGGGGGGACTTTTTAACATAGGCCTCTGTATGGCCTTCAATTTTAGCTGCTTACGCTCTGCCACTCTGCCATGGGCCTCTGTACCGCCTCCTCATGCTGCTGCCAGGCCCGTAATCTGTCATGGGCCCCTGTACCGCCTCCTCATGCTGCTGCCAGGTCCAGAGTGTGTCATGGGTCCCTGTACGGCCTCCCATTGCTGCTGTCTCCATCGCCACACTCTGCCATGTGCCACTTTCAGGTCTCCTCACACTGCTGGTGGGTTCCATTTTGTCATAGGGTGCTGTATGGCCTCCCATTGCTGCTGCTGCCTCCACCGCCACACTGTGGCTCCACACTCTGGTTTTGGCCCCGTGACTGCCCAAATGAGTGAAGTGTGCGGTGATTCTAAGATCGACGGCACTCATCTGCATGTCATACTGACTGACAGTATTATTTCTCTTCCCCAGCAGACTCCAAGGGCATTTAAATTAAAGGTACAGTGTTCTGCACTAATATAAAGGCTCTCTGAAGCCTAGAAACACCCTTTTTATAAGTTAAATTCGCAGCGAATATATTCGGCTCGAAGCGAATTTATTCGGCGAATTCGGCGAATCAGCCGAACCGAATTTTTGAATAATTCGCTCATCTCTAATTATAATAGACTCTAGAATATAGAACAATGGTTTTCAGCCTACGAAGTATAGGGGGGGCCTCACATAATTTTCAATGTATGTAATGATAGAGAGGATACATATATACTAAAAGTAATGATTGTCAGAGACTATGGACATGCTACAAGTTTGGTTGGATACTTGGGAGATGTTACATGAGGCTAGTAGAAATCCCTGCTATTACCCCTTTACAAATTTGTGCTCTTGCTTCCACTATTGAGTCCAAGGGTCACATAACAACTACCAAAGGGTCACCTGTGGTTATACACTATATTGCCAAAAGTATTGGGCCAGCTCTCCAAATCATTGGATTCAGGTGTTCCAATCACCTCCATGGCCACAGTTGTATAAAATCATCACCTAGGCATGCAGACTGCTTCTACAAACATTTGTGAAAGAATGGGTCGCTCTCAGAAGCTCAGTGAATTCAAGAGTAGTACTGCGATAAGTTGCCAAGTCCATCTGTGAAATTTCCTTGCTACTAAATATTCCACAGTCAACTGTTAGTGGTATTATAACAAAGTGGAAGCAACTGGGAACAACAGGCCACATAAAATGACAGAGAGGGTTCCGGGAATGCTGAAGCAAAGAAGTTGCCAACTGTCTGCAGAATCAATAGTTAAAAAAGCTAAAAAACTCTAAATTTCAAGTGGCCTTCAGATTAGCACAACAACAGTGCAAAGAGAGCTTCATGGAATGGGTTTCCATGGCTGAGCAGCTATAGCAAAGCTTTACATCACCAAGTGCAATGTGTGTGTGCCGAGTTCAGGAGTGCATCGGGCACAGCTGGATACATTTCATGGTTGTAAACCCAATTAGCTGGTTCCAGGTTGTCTGTCAGCCTCTTGCACTGGCCAGATCGTAAAGCTATAAACCTGTCAGTCACTGGACTTGAAAAGCATTCCGAAATAGCAGTAAAACATACATCCCACTTGGAACTACTTTTTCATACAATTTCATAACTCCTGGCAGGAAAAAGGTACAATAGGACAAAACATATATTCAGATAGGTCAGTTTAATGCGAGTCACCTGATACCTTACATCCCAGATTACGTCTACCCGAGAGCAGAAAGCGATATCTTTTTAACCGTCACAGGCAGATATGTCATATCTGGTGTCTGGACGTTCAGCAGATGACTCTGCATATTATTCTACCAGTGGATAGGATGCTACATGTACCTATGGGAGCTTATTGATCATGATATAAACTTGGGAGGAATTTGGATCAGAGCCTGGATCTCCACCTAAACCTGCTCCCCAAATGAGGTGATTGGCCCTTGGCTTCAGTAGATGCCCCTTGCTGGGGGACTAGAAAATAGGCTATCAGGCCTGGAGAAGTAAGATGAAGAGATTCTCCCTTTTAACATCAGGAACCAACTTTGGGAGAAAAGGTACCCTTTTGTTCAACAGGGGACACTTGTAACTGCTTAAACCAAGGACTTTGGCAAGTATTCTACCTTCATAAACTTCTTTCTGTTATCTCTCTGTTGTGTTATTGCTCTCTGTATCTATATACCGTATTTTTCGCTCCATAAGATGCACTTTTTTCACCCCAAAAAAGGGGGGAAAATGTCAGTGCGTCTAATGGAGCGAATATGGAGCTGCCGGTCCGGTATTTCCACCACCGCCGTGTCAGAATACCGGGCCGGCCGCTCAGCTCTGAAGCGGGACCTTACCTGCTCCTCTCTCCAGCGCCACGCTGTCTTCCCGACTTCTGTAGTGTGGGCGCTCGGCTTGACAGCCGGGTGCCAAGTGCGCATGCGCAAGAAGCGGTGCGCTGTGTGAATGGTAAGGCGGCACCTGGGACACATGACAGGTCCCAGAAGCCGCCGCACCAATCTCAAAGCGCAGCGTTTCTCGCTCATTTGCACTGGGCACCCAGCTATCAAGCCGAACGCCCACACTACAGAAACTGGGAAGACAGCGCGCCGCTGGATAGATGAACAGGTAAGGTCCCGCTGCAGAGCGGACACTAACCAAAGAACAACTCCGCGGAAGTAAGAGCGGGTACCTGTCAAATTCAGGTACCCACTCCCCCCCCCCTCCCCAAAGGTCAGCAGTCATCTCCTGTACTATCCACAGTCTCTGGTCATCCCTGTACTGTCCACAGACTCTGGTCATCTCCTGTACTGTCCACAGTCTCTGGTCATCCCTGTACTGTCCGCAGTCTCTGGTCATCCCCTGTACTGTCCACGGTCTCTGGTCATCTCCTGTACTGTGTCTGCAGTCTCTGGTCATCTCCTGTACTGTGTCTGTAGTCTCTGGTCATCTCTTGTACTATGTCTGTAGTCTCTGGTCATCTCTTGTGCTATGTCTGCAGTCTCTGGTCATCTCCTGTACTATGTCCGCAGTCTCTGGTCATCTCCTGTACTATGTCTGCAGTCTCTGGTCATCTCCTGTACTATGTCTGCAGTCTCTGGTCACCTCCTGTACTATGTCCGCAGTCTCTGGTCATCTCCTGTACTATGTCTGCAGTCCATTGGTTCAGAATATTTTTTTTCCTGTTTTCTGCCTCTAAAACCTAGGTGCGTCTTATGGTCAGGTGCGTCTTATGGAGCAAAAAATACGGCATATATACAGTATATATTTGCTACATCTTTTTCTGTAAATATTTTTATTGCACCCTTTTGACCTTTTTAGTAATAAATCCTATTTTCTGAAAAGTGTTGAACTGTTTCTAAAGCTCTTTAATGCAAACTAAGAATCCCTGTCTCTGAAGAGTGCTACTGTGTGTTTTAAAACCTCTAAATACATCTGCCTGCGGTGACAGTGTGTATACAGACGCTTATTCAAACATCATAGTGTTACTGCTGAGATTTGTGAGTTTCCTCCTTCTCTGTAAAAAGGTGGTGGTGGCAGTGTGAAGGGTTAATTTCGTAATTAACCTGACCCAGTAACAATCGCTCTCAGGCTGCGGGCACATAGATTGTGGTCCAGTGAGCTGGAAAATCTTTGTGCAGGGTGCAGCTGAGCATGGCATTGTTACGCAAGTGGCAGCGCGGTTTTTAGATTGGCTAGTCCTTCGGTCACAAGTTGGTGAGAAGGGCTGGGGGTCTGACACCGCACCCCTCACAGGGGGATTATGTTGTGGGGTTGTCTTTCAGGGGTTGGTCCTGGCCCCTTTGTTTCAGTGAAGGGAACTCTTAAGGCGTCAGCATACCATGACATTTTGGACAAATTCATGCTCCCAACTTTGTGGGAACAGTTTGGGGATGGCCCCTTCCTGTTCCAACATGACTGCGCACCAGTGCACAAAGCAAGGTCCATAAAGGCATGGAAGAGCGAGTTTGGGGTGAAGGAACTTGACTGGCCTGCACAGAGTCCTGACCTCAACCCAATAGCTCACATTTGGGATGAGTTAGAGTGGAGACTGCGAACCAGGCCTTCTCGTCTGACATCAATGCCTGACATCACCAATGCATTTCTGGAAGAATGGTCAAACCTTTCCATAGACACCTACTAAACCTTGTGGACAGCCTTCCCCGAAGAGTTGAAGCTGTTATAACTGCAAAGGGTGGGCCAACTCAATATTGAACCCTACGGACTAAGGCTGCCATTAAAGTTCATGTGCGTGTAAAGGCAGGTGGCCCAATACATTTGGCAATCTAGTGTATATTGGGTACTGCAACTTTAGGACTATTGTTCTTCAAAAAACTCTTACCTGTGCTTGATTCCTTGAAATACATTTCAGAGCGCGGTAGCTGAATATAACTATACACCCAGATGAAACCAGCTGCACTATATTTGTTAGTAGCAGAAAGTTGATAATAGCCAAGGTTCCCACCTGAAAAAGTAAAGTAAGCAGAAAGTGTACTTCATTAGTGCTAGCAATATTATGTATGGTGTGTGTAGAATATTAGTTTTATTTTAATCTTAAACAATTTTTTTTTCTGTGGGTTTAACTGGATGGACTTGTGTCTTTATGCAACCAGATTGACTGTTTTCTTTATTGGTGAGTACGAGTACCGATACTTGTGCCCAAGTACTCGCCGATACTGATTACCTCTGAATATTTGTGCAAATGCTTAGTACTGGCATCAATACCCATACTGGTATAGGTATCGGTGCAACCCTAGTTTAAATAAACTTTAAGAAGTTAAACCATCATTAACTAATATCATGAACTCAAATAGTTTTTAAAACCTAATATCAATTTATCTTCCTGGCAGCCCCCCAATTTGATCATTTTCAGACAAACTGGGCGACAGATTGATTAGGCAAGTAGGAAACACAATTAGCATTGCTATCATTCTTACCCAAGATTTTCGGCACTGGCAGCATTGTTGGCGAGCAGGGCCCTTATGTAGCCCTATTCAGTTTATTTAACTAGCTAGTTTCTGTTTCATGGTTTGTTTGTTTATTAACCAATTCAATACAGGGCAATTTTACACCTCCTGCCCAGGTAATTTTTCAGGTTTCAGCGCTCTCACACTTTGAATGACAATTGCACGGTCATACAACATTGTACCCAAACTAAAATTTTATCATTTTCTTCACACAACTAGAGCTTTCTTTTGGTGGTATTTAATCACCGCCGGGGTTTTTATTTTTTGCTAAATTAACAAAAAAAGACCAAAAATTTCGAAAAAAAAAACACGTTTTTCTTTGTTTCTGTTATAAACGTTTACAAATAAATAATTGTTCTTCATAAATGTAGGCCAAGATGTATTCTGCTACATGTCTTTGGTGAAAATAACCCAAATTAGGATGTTTTTTTTACTTTGTAGGAAGGTTATAGAGTTCACAAACTATGGTATAGATCTGAATATTGATCAATCCTGAAGTACTGACAGCCAATCTAATTTCTTGAGGTCCAAGAATGTCAGAATAGTACAGATATCCCCCAAATGACCCCTTTTTGTAAAGTAGACAGTCCGACGTATTTTATAAGAGGCATGGTGAGTTTTTTGAAGTTGTATTTTTTTTGTCATAATTTTTCAGAAAATAAAAAAATTAAAAAAATTATTTTCACTATTTTTTTTTTTTACATACTGTCACCAGTGCAGTACAGCATCATCATATAACTGGCATGGCGGTGAACAGGGATACTGACTGGTGACAGTAAAATATATATATATTTTTTTAATTATTTTTTATTTTTTTATTTTTTATTACTTTTTTTTATTTTTATAAGATTTTTTTTTTAAGATTTTACTTAAAAAGTGATCAGTATTTATTTATTTATCTATTTTTTTACACAATTTGCTTATAGCAAAGAATTACTTTGCTATAAGCAAGCATTTACCTGAATGGCATTGATTCATTCAGGGAATTTTTTTTTTTTTTGTACTTAGCTGTGATTTGGCCACAGCTAATCACATGACATGTGAATGTGATTAGCTGTGACCATTCACAGCTAGGCAGTAGTATACAATGGATGGCATGAATGAAGCCATCCATTGTATACAACTGTCATGTGACCTGCTATGATTGGTCACAGCAGGTCACATGGTACCGGCAACGGGGCCGATACTCAGATACTCAGATCTGTCATCGGCCGTGTCCGAGGTATACGGCCGGTGACAGATCGTGCCGCTGCACGACTCTGCAACCGCGCGAACTGCGCATGTGCTGGAGGACGCCAAATGGCGTACACCCCGGAAAGGTAATGCATTTTTGCAGCCGCCAAACGGCTATAGGCCGGGCGTCAAATGGTTAAAGTATGGCCAAAGTGCTCACTACTCACATTCCCAACAGGACACAAAAATGAACATGTATATATCTGAAAATCATCAATACAGCATAATGCGATCCCAGCAATGGAAACTAAGCAGCTGATGGTATGCATGATGAAGCACGTCTTGACCTGTGCAGAGAAAACATATTGAAAGATATTAAATATTTTACTCTCAGTATTAAGGATACCTACTATCAATCATTCAAACAAAAATACTTTGGTAGCACTACCCCCTTAGGAGTTGCTCAATTGCTGAAATTGAATTATTTTTATTATACAGGATATATATAGCGCCAACAGTTTGTGCAGCGCCGGGGCGGACTGACCATTTGGAAACTCAGGCACTGCCCGAGGGCCCGGGGTCAGTAGGGGGCCCCATTAGATGCCCCTGGTACCTTTTTCATAGGCTTTTTTTAGTTTGGGCAAGGACACAAGGGCTCCATGATCCCCTATTGCCCGGGGGCCCCATGAGTTGTCAGTCCTCCCCTGTGCAGCGCTTTACAAAATGAAGGTAGACATACCTACAATTACAGTACAATTTGATACAAGAGGAAACAGAGGGCCCTGCTCGTTAGAGCTTACAATCTAAGAGAATTCACTCACGAATTGAATTTAACTAGTAAAAGGTTTATAGCAAAAGTCAATATTAATATAATATGATAATCTTTTCAGAAATTAACCCAATACTTTCAACCTGAGGTGGTCTTACAATCCCCAGTGAGCAGCTAGACCTATCAAACAGGTAGACTAGCTCACTATGGGCCCTCAGGACCTGGTGGCAAGGAGACAGCCTGAAATAAGGAATAAAGCTCTTTATCCCAAAACAAGCAATGTTCTTTAAGGCAATGAAGAGTCTTCTGCGCACGTGATGGGGCCCAGTTAGTGCATAGTGAAAAGAAGTGTGGACTATAACTCTGAGGAACAGTGTAATAAAGAGAGGGAAGAATAACATTCCCATTGCAAGCAGCAATTTTACAAATGTAATGTTCCTTTAAGGCACTAGTCACTAGCGAATCTAAAGCAGCAAGTGGTCAATCTGGAAAAAGTGATTGTTGGCACAGGGAAACTCTTCTTTGGGCTATGAGGCTTTTGACACAATAGTGAAAAGGCCTACTTAGCAGAGTGAATTGATGATAATGGTGACACAGCGGTGGTTTGTCCTGTGGAGCGACTGTCCTGCTATCAGTTCTGATGATAAGGCTGTGCTAAGTGTAGTCAGAAAGTAGCGGCTAAGGGAACTAGGCCGTAAATTCTAATAACTATGTGCAATGTCCACAACTGTGTACAGGAAAATAGCAAAGCTAGAACAGGTGTCAGTGCTCCCTGTCCTTGATAATGCTTGGAACTCTCTTACCCAAGGGATGGCATCCGGTGAATTCTGGCGGTCTTTCTCTCTCCTTCGATAAGGCCTCCACACACTCCCTGCTCCCACCTGCAGCGTTCCGTCTGGTCACCTGCAAGCAGATTAGCTTTCTCCACAATACGGCAAGGTCAGCGATCAGCAGATTCTCTTTGCCTCCTCTTTTTCTCTCTTTCCACAGCCTGGTCTGGTGTTCCCGCTCTGAATGCACTCCTCTCTCCAGATCTCTCCCCTCTTACTTCCTGTCTCATCTTCCAGGCTTTCATATATATACGCCTCCACCGACACGCCAGCGGTTCAGCATACCATCTTCCATGGAGCTGCACTACAGAGTGTGAATGCCACTGTTCTGCAGGACACTGCCATCTTGTGTTGGTTTTAACAACCTGCATGCACTTGTAGCAGGGTGTTACACACTCTCCCCCC